TTTTTGTCCACATATTCGTCATTTTCGTCGTAAAAGTTTCCTGAACAGTGCTTTTTAGAACGCATGGCCACTTGACTTCGCGGTATATCGAAAATTCACCATTCTAACCGGTATTTGCACCTAAGTCTTGCGCTTATTAGTAAATATTGATAAACATTGTATATGAAACGGTGGGTGTCATTGAGTTTTGTTCCGCAGATTCATTCCACCAGATTAAAATGAAACATCCTGAGTATTTTTAGGTAAAAATAGCAGTAGCAGTACAGTAAAGAAATTATTTAAAAGAATTTTTAAATTCTGTGCTCTGAGTTAAGATATATCGAAAGATGAAAGTAATCAACAATACTGGAGAAGGTTTTAGAAGTTATGTCATATTGGGTCTTATTTACTGCAAGCTTCACAGTCCGGAAGGAGCGAGAGATCTTAGCTTGGCATATTATACCCAGTGCAATGATTGACAAGATCTACGACGAATACCATAAGAAGATTAAGTACAAGAGTTGTGAAACATTTAGCAACATTAGAAAATGGAAGCATCGCTTTCAGGATCGTTTCTTGTCTAGAACACCAGTTGTGTCGACATGGGGCCGAAAACACGTCGGTTGCCTGGTTCCAAGCCCAGATGAGATGGGAGGATAGTTTTGTACGTTTATGAGGTTCTCGTAGAGCTTAGTCATCTTTTTTTCATTGGCCTTATCGAACATTATGCCAGTTCGATCGTCGCTCAGGCTACCAAGAGCCGCTCAAGGTGTTGGAAAACTCAGGCAGAGAGCGAAAAGTTCACGATCACAACCAGTGTCACGCCTTCTGGCAGTTGGGGATTGGATATAGCATTATGACGCCAACTGCCAAAGATCGGCAACTGAGAGGCGATTACACCAGTAAGTAACGGATTGGCTGGCCGTTCTGAGCAGATGTGGAAGACAGTGCGATTCGGTTATACCACGTTAAATAAACTTCCACCTGCGGATGATACTTCACGACTGCGTGAGCTCCCAGTCAGAAACTGGTACATCTCCTCACCCGAAGAACAGGCGCAATGAATGATTGTAAGAAAGTGCCTCGAAGATTGCTACAATCTCAGATGATTTCTGCTTCGGCTCAAGTGCTAGTAAACAAACTATCAGGAAAATCAGAGACACTCGTGGCACCTCCCTTCAGAGATCTGTGAGGACAAGCGGTCGTCAAAACAGACTGACTGGCCTGATGCTCCTGCTTTAACTTTACTTCATCGTTCTTCATAATTTTGTTGTTTCCTTTATGTATTGTTACCCTGACGGCGAATGCAGCTTTT